TCCCCTCCGTCCTCGTTCCTCCTCGTCGAGGAGGAGTTCATCCCTTAAGAGTTCGTCCCTGGTACCGCAGGTATCCTCGGGGAAAGAACTTCCGAGCTTACGATTAGACGTAAACCTATTTAGACTCTACCTACCGTCGCAGATATGCTAAATGCTTATTTACAGCTTAGCCTACGCTGCTAATTCGATCGAAAGTAGAGTGATCGTCGACTGGCCGATTCGAGGAAGAACGCTCGCTGCCACGAGATACGAGCCCGTCGTGCAACCTCTCATTTCCCTCCTACTGCAATCAACGGCATTTAAGCCTGCGTTTCGAGCGTTTAAGTATTTAGCTGCTTCCGTCATATCTCCGCGTATACCGAGAATTTTTTTCTACTCTCTGGGACAACGACTCCTTGCAACCTGCTTCTCCATCGAAACAGATGCCCTCGCGAAATCCCTCGTGTTTCGTGCGATCCTCTAACCTAACTCTTATCGCGATGAATTTTTTCGCCACTTTGAAGCTGTGTACGTACTCGATATCGAGAAGAGACATCAACGCCCACGTAGGACAGAAGCATGCGGAGGAAGAAAAGGGAACTGGGAAAAAAGGGCCGAGTAAGTGTGCGCGCGTGACTCTGAAAGAGAGAAAATGGAAAAGAGGGATAAGTCAGGTATACGAAGGTCGTTAGCTCGAAGAAAAATTAGCCGTTTGTCGGAGTTCCGTCGAAAGATGGGTCAATCAGATACGAAAACACTTGTCGGACCGGGCATTGTCCCAAGGTAACAGGTCTACGAAGGATACAGGTATACTTTTGTCCTAATGACCGTTCCGAGGCGTTCACCAGCCTCTCCTCCTGCCGTTTTTTCCTCTTGAAAGCCAAGCGCGAGACCGCGATTACGCGTTACCGACTGTCCTCTCCAAACCAAGTAAACCTCCCTTCGTACGATAAGCCCGCTCTTAACCACTTCACGTGCCTTCTTACGAGCCTTCTTCCCACCCATTCGATTCACAGTTTTCATCGAAACAGCGTCTATAATTTCACCCCACTTTTCACCTATCCTATAATACCCTTTACGATCTTTCCCTTTATACCTTGCACACCAAGATTTACTTTCTAAACCAAGTACCAAGGAGTATATCGATTTCCAACTATTTTCCGACGACAATTAGAATCGAACGGAAGGTTGCAGCCATTATTGCGGTCGATGTAATAAAACGCTTATCCTTAACTTTCTAAGCTAATTTTCTTGCGCAGCGCGGGTTTCGATCGGTGCAGGGGCGTGGCCATAATCTCTGCCGTATTCTATTTCGATGTACATTCGATGTATGCATTCGATCCTTTCACCGTCCGTTTAGACTGCTCCTGCTTGTCAAGGTAAAACTGCAAAAACATCTATGCGACGACAGATTTGACACTTGTAGTTCCAACGTCCCCGTTCGTTTCTTTCCTTTTAATCCTACAATTTCGTTTCTCTTCTATTCGCTTGTACAATTACTTTTTTCGTTTAACTTAACTTTCGTAAACTTAACACGCGACAGAAATTACCACAGAAATAACGTTCATCCCGTTAATCGACAAATTACACAATGTTCGTTGGAAACTAACGGTAATCTGAATAAAAATCAAAGTATATAGCGTGAAATAATGAAATACCTGTGGAAACAAATTCTCGATAGATCTTCTAAAAAATTACCTCTATCGATAAAAAAGGCGGGAATCTATTGCGATAAAATGGATTCTTATCGCCATCTACCGCGTGGTTTGTACAACCTGGATATCCGCTCGTATATACGAGATGAAACGCCGTCGGATAGCTGAGAAGAATGTCGTGAATACATCGTTATTTACCAATCAGTACTGACCGGTACTGATCAGTACCAATTTTATGTGCCAATTTTCTCTCCGATCGTTCGTGTTTTTTAAATTTCCATTGTGATTGACGTCACTTGATATCGTTACGAGTGTCGGTGATACTCATCCTACTACCGAGATACACGTCATTTCTCGTTTTGGAAACAAACGTTGCGGCCGCCTACCACACTGGTATTCTCGTTTGCCGCGATACACCCTACTACTGGACTTCCCAACGAATCTACGTACTTCCCATTTGGTACGTAGCACGAAACGCTCTTAGTTTTATCTCGCAGCTGATCGTTAATCGCGTACGATTATAGACGATTGTGATTACTTACTCGTATACGAAGATCCACTGTTTTTCATTGGTTAAGTTTTAAGTGAGAACAGAGAATCTTCTGTTGTGTCGAGTGAAAATTTATACATCTCTACTTTCACCGAGGCAATCCAGGTGTAACGGTAAACCGCGATATTAAGAAGAATTCTCTGTATATGTATTTTTTTGTACGTGACCTCGTTTAGTCCTGTTTAACTTCAAATATGCCAACATTTCTCACTTTCGTTCTTCTGCAATTTCCATCTTTATATCTCGAATCTTTTTTCCCAAACGTATATACGTATCTCGATGTTGCTGCGTTCGTACACCGATTGCAATATTCGAATAAGCATGGTTTGGAATAGTTTTCATTTATAATTTCGTTAGTCAGCTGTTGTAATTACCTACACGCTCTTGACCGAGTGCTTGGAACTTACAATCTGTAACCATCTCGTCTGCGTATTTTTCCCGTAAATACTCCATTGCTGTAACTTTCTCCTTTAAACATCTGTTTCGTCACGTTTGCTGGTCGCAAGTCGTTGCCGATGTTTTTAACGAGAATGCGGCACGTTCGAACGATATTCACAAACGAACAATGTTCGACGATTGCTTTTAAATTATTTGTCCGTTTGAAAAAGTATAAAAGTGACAGAAACTGATTTCATGCTTATTCCTTTTACTCGACTATCCGTCGTCTAATATTTCTTATGTACTATCAAGATTTTACTTACGTAATTGTATCATTTTTTATTCTAGAATCATGAGAAACTTCCTATCTTTTCTTTTGATATGTGTGTTAGTGCAGTTGTCAGTTGCACCACCTGTTAATCAAAAGAATAAAGATGGGGAACGTGACAATGAAAATGAAAATGAAGTTGAGGATGTGGAAGAAACGGTACGTCTTTCTGCTGGAAAGTAGATCTTTAATTGTATTAACAGGGCTTATAGCGTCGTTTATTTATGTAGCCGGATGCCATGGAGTACCGCAGGTATTTGTTGGAAGTAATTCAAGTATTGGAGACTGATCCTGACTTTCGGGCAAAGTTGGATGCAGCAAATGAAGCAGATTTGCGTGTAAGTTGAAGGAAATGCCATTTTATTGAAATTCAATATGGAAAATCGTAATTTAAAGCTGTACCGAAACATTTTTTTCTGTATTAGTCAGGGAAGATAGCTGAACAATTACAATTTGTTAATCACAATGTTAGAACAAAGTTGGACGAGATAAAGAGGGAGGAACTAGAAAGACTGAGGCACCTTGCGACAAAAGTGCACGAATTAAAAAATGGATTAGACATTGATCATTTAAAAATACCTGAACATCTGGACCATACCAATACACGTACATTTGAAATTTACGATTTAAAAAAATTAATCGCTAAGGTAATTCAAGATTATTGTAAAATGATTATATAAATAAGCGAGATATAAATACGTTAATTGTTCATTCGTGTAGACTACAAAGGATTTGGCAAAAGCTGATAAAAAGAGACGCGAAGAATTCAAGCAACATGAAATGCAGAAGAAGTATGAAGAACAAGAACATTTAAAATGTACCAAGTATATTTCGTATAAAATCAAGTATATATCGTTTATTTAGCGATAATAGTACAACTCTTCTGTGTATATTCTCTATTATCGTAGACATGAACGATGCGGAGAAAAAAAAGTACGAGGAAGAGCTGCGCGTAATTAAAGAAAAACAGAAGAAACACGAACCTGTAAGTTGTAAACGTATTCTATTTATATATCCCGATTGCTTATCGCTGGTTTTTTTTATAGGTGCATCATCCAGGAAGTAAACAACAATTGGAGGAAGTATGGGAGAAACAAGATCACATGGAGAGTGAAGAATTTAATCCTAGAACCTTTTTCTTCTTTCATGGTACAAATACTTACTTACTTATTTTTCCTGTAAAAATAATACGTTTCTCGTTTAAATATTATTTTCCGTTTGAAACAAATATTTCAGACGTTGATGGTAACGGAGTGTGGGATCAGGACGAAGTTAAAGCTTTATTTTTGAAGGAACTGGACAAGCTTTATGCTCAAGGAGCACCCCATGATGATTTATTAAAACGGGCCGAAGAGATGGAAAGGATGAGGGAGCATGTATTTAACGAAGCTGATCTTAATAAAGACGGACTTTTAAGGTATACGTGTATAGCTTAGACCTATTACATGTCGTGTTTACTATTTTCTATCCTTACTTTAGTTACGACGAATTTTTGGAGCAAACAAAGAAACCTAATTTTCAACAAGACGAGGGTTGGCAAGGATTAGACGAACAACAAATATATACCGAGGAAGAGTACGAAGCTTTTCAAAGGCACCGGCAAGAGGAGATACAAAAAATGATTGTTAAAGGAATAGTAAGTACATCACCTTGATAAATATAGTAATCATGATTAGTTTTTACCAGTACACATGTTTATCGCATTGATTGTGCATATTATGTTATCAACATTTGTTTTCGTTTG